TATACATGCATCTACTCATGATCCTCCAAACCATACCTGGGTTCGTCCACGGATTTACCCATCCATGATCCATCAGTCAATCCCTCCACCCATCCATGTACCCACAATCCATCCTTCAACCATCTATCGTCCACCCTTCCGCCAGTACCTGCGTTACGCACCCATCCGTAATTATTTCTTTGTCTATCTGTCCACCTGCCCTCCCTGACCCACCACCAGTCTATTCATCCATCTATCCAGGCCCACCCATGGGTCCAGCCATGCACAGTCCCCCTGCTGATCTATGTACGTAAATATCCACGGAGTCACGCATCTGCTTGCTCATTCCAACCACTCACCGCCTATCTACCTCCCCACTGATCTATTCAAACAAGATTTCAGCCAAATGCCAGGGTTGAAGTAAATTTGATATGTGTGGCCATGTCTGGAGAGGGGAGGACCCGGACAGGGGATGGAAACTGGGAGCCAGGTCTGGTGGAGGGTTGGGCCAGGACGAAGGCCTGGAGGCCTGGAAGAGAACAGTGGTGAAGGTTGGTGGGGGAGGGGCGAGACAAGGAGTCAGGGGAGAGGTGTGGGTCCCTCACGCAAGGGAGCCGGGCCAGGTCTCCGAGCAGGTGAGGCTTGTCCATTATCAACCCTTCACCCGTCCTCACAGGTCCGGAAGTGACTCCAGGCCCTGGGGCGTACAGCCCGGAGAAGGTAGCCCCGTTGCACCAGCGGACACCCCCGGCCTTCACCCTGGGCTCCCGCCTCCGCCCGCAGCCGCTGGACAACTCGGCCCCTGCCCCTAACACCTACACTCTGCCCTCCCTCTGGGGCTCCCAGGTCTTCATCAAGCCCAGCAGCCCCAGCTACACGGTGGGGGGCCGCACGCCCCCTGCCCGCCCCCCCCAGGACCCCTCTGAGATCCCAGGCCCCGGCCAGTATGACAGTCCCGACCCCAACGCCTACCGGCAGCGCCGGCCAGCCTTCACCATGCTGGGGCGGCCCCGTGCCCCCCGCGCCCCACAGGAGACGCCTGGCCCTGGCACCCACAGTCCCGAGCAGGTCACTGTGACCAGAGCCCGGGCCCCAGCGTTCACCATGGGCATTCGCCACTCCGGGTGGGCGGCCACCATGGCCGCAGGCACCGCACCCTGATGGGGCCGGTCCCCTTTTTTACTTGTGGAGCCTTCATTGCTACCCCAAGGAGTGGGGTGTGCACCTCCCCTGGCTGGGCTTGGGGGGGGGGGGGGCACGGAGAAGCGGGAGCCGGGAGGCGCCTTGGTCCCTTTCTGAACTGTCTGAGGTCCTTCTAGGCCACCTGCCCTCCAGTCCCTGGGGGCTGTGACCCTGAGGCCCTGTTACAGGGTGCGCCTCCTTCCGGCGCCCCAGTTCTTCCCTCTGGGTCATGCCAGGCCAAGCAGGCTGGGCAGCGAAAGGAACATCCTGGCCCTTCTCAGTGCCAGCAGGAGGTGGAGCTTCCTGTGTCCTAGAACCCCGAGTCTGCCCCATCAGGGCTTGGGTCCCCGACACAACTTGGGGTCGTGCCAAACCCGGGCCCTTCTTCCGCGCTTCTCTGGAGCGCAGCGCCCAAACCCCAGCTGGCAACAGTGCTGATGGCACCCCCTGCCCCGCCCCCGCCGCCTGCCAATAAACCTCTGAGACACCGAGGCTGTGGGCTGCACACGGCGTTCCTTTCACCTGTCTGTTCGCGTCACGCGGAGCACACCCCAGCGCGGCAAGACCTGACCCCCTGCTCTGCAAGGCCTCTGGGCTGCGGGCTGGCCGAGGGAGGCGCGGCCGGGCGGGGGGCTCGAGTGGGGAGCCCTGGAGGCTTCTTGGAGGGGGATTTGCGGGTAGCCTGGGTCAGCGTTTCGTTTACCCACACACACTGTGGGAGCGGCTCACTGGCAGGGAAAAGCGAAATCCCAGCAAGATGGAGGGAGCTTGAGGGAGTTCGAGCAAAGCCAGTCAGACGATGAACATGAACAGCTACTTACACAGCACTAGATCAGTACAATCCAAACACTGGTGGGCATTTATACATATTTTGAGGGTAATGGGATTAAGGGGAGGCTGGCGGGACCAAGGGACCAGGGGCATGAAGGACGATGACGGGAAGGGATTGGGTGAAAAAGAGAAATATCTGTGAGTGAGCGTAGTTTCACGGAGAACAGGCGTCCACGGAGGACGGGTGTGAAGAGGGGGGACACGGAGACGTGGGGCGTGCAGCCCCGGGGCGGGAGGACGTGGGCGGGCATCAGCAAGTTGAAAGAACCCGCAGAGCTCGCAGGCAGCGTGGGAGGACGTGCGAGGACGGGCGGGAGCCCAGTTGGGCTTGAGTGAGTGAGCGGGGGCGCGCCGGTGACGGCACACAGGGGACGTCGGAGCTGGTTTCGAAGGACGCCTGGGAGTTTGGGATGTTGCGCTGTCTGCCATCAGTAGGTGCCTGCCACGTCCCAGATACTGGTAAAGGTGGTCAAGACCCACTCAGGCTGTTTACTGGGACAGTCAGAGAGCTTCAGGGACAGTCAACCCCACGGAGAACGTGGCGCGGTCTGTCCTTCCAGGGGCCCCCGTCACATGACCCCGCCGCTGTGCTACCTTCTGGGCGGCCCTAGGGAACGGGGGGGGGGGGGCAGCGTGCAGGGGCCCTGATCACATCCTGGTTTGGGGCTTGAGAGAGACGGACACTGGCCCACCTGATGCTGTCACCTCGAGACTGGAGCTTGGGCCGCCTCTGACCACCACACGCCAGGGAAGCAGGCACAGCCGCTGAGTCCAGAGGGTGCACTTTCATCAGACGGCTGGCTGGCACGCTGGCCAGTGGGGAGAGTCACCCCTTAAAGGAGCCACCGGAACACGTCCTTTCAGCTGGCCTGTAGCGTGAGCTGCACAGAGACGGCTCAGCGGCCAGCCGGCCTTCGCGGCTGCCAGGAGTGCTGTCCAGCCGCCCTGGGTGTGGCCTCAAGTGCGTCCCCTGCTGATGTGCTGAGTTGGTCTTCCCAGCATGCGGCTCCCTGCACCCCCAGATGTGTCCTTGGGCTGAAACATTTTCTCAGGTGGACAGGCACAAGCAGTGTGCGCCATCTACTAACTGCAGAGTCTGACCCGCTCCCCGCCACAGCCCCTGCCAAACCAGGATGTGATCAGGGCCCCTGCACGCTGCCCCCGTTCCCTAGGGCCGCCCAGAAGGAAGCACAGCGGCGGGGTCATGTGACGGGGCCCCCTGGAAGGACAGACCGCGCCACGTTCTCCCCGGAGGAGGCAGACCCAGGGCAGCGCCGCAGGTGTGTGGGGTTGACTGTCCCTGTTCCCAGCCGGGGACCCCACTTGGGCACAGTCACTCACACACGGTGTTACCATGCAGCAGGCACTGCTGCAAGTGGACAGTGGAACGTGCAGACTGTCTGGGCAGAAAGCTTAATCCCCTGGCTATTGCTGGGGGGAATGAGGACAGTGGGAGGAAAGTACTCCTCGCGTCCGCACACTCCCCTTGGAAAGAATCCGCAGGACCGGCAGCCATGTCCTGCTCACCGGCAGCCATGTCCTCCGGGTGCCAGAAAGCGCTGCCTCGCCGCGGCCTCTCCCATGCTCTGCACTCAGGCACGCGGGCATCCTCACAGCAGTTCACAGTGGCCCGGCCGCGGCGGTCAGCGCACAGCTTGTCCTCGGCCAGATCTCTGCCACACAGGCTGGTGGCCAAGGCCAGCTCTGAAACCAGTCGGCCCCGATCTGAAACCACATGTGCGCTTGGCCTTGGTGGCCGGGGCGTCGGACGCCTGGACCTCGCCCCCAGGTAGCCACACGCCAGGTATGTCTGTGGCCCATCATGCCTGGCGGGCTCCCAGCACCCATCAGTGACCTCTGCCTCGGAAGTCCGAACACGCGCCCCTTTCTCCCACCCTGGACCCCAACCCTTGGGCACACAGCAAGACGCCTAACACACCTGTACACACCCCTGCGCCACCACACACACCCGACACCCCAGGAGTCCCCTCCACACCTGCATGCACCTGCACTCCCTCGCCCTGCCCCCGCTTGGCCGCAAGTGGACATTCTCACACCGGTACACGTCGGCAGCCGCGCGCACTATACACACCACCCAACCTGGCACGCGCGCAGCCTACCACGGACC